AGTCAGATCTAAGTTCTAAGCCCTCGGGCATATAAGATTTGATCACCCTAAAAGTCCTTGGCCTCAAGGCATAAAAAAGAACCTGATGTGGACTTAACCTATCCACTACAAGCTTTGATAACAAGAAGTCCGAAGTTACTTAGGGCGCAAGTAATTGACCTGTCACTTAGTTTTATTGTTGTGATATTATGATTACCATATAACGTTTGGGGACGGGATGAATTCTGATGGGAAGCCTCAAGGCCTACACCTAAGGCCCCACAAAGGAACCTATTTGGATTCATCCTGTTTCTCGGGCAAGAACATTAAGAATGGAAGGGGTTCTAATGGGAAGCCTCAAGGCCTATTCAAGGCCCCGCAAAGGCACCTATTTGGATCCATTCTGCTCTTTAAGTTCAGGTAATCAGAAGTATGATGGTTATAAAATCTACATAACCAAGAAAAGGAACCTTATATGTTCAAATACTAAGTTAGTTATTTATGGGAAGCCTCAAGGCCTATACCTAAGGCCCCACAAAGGCACCTGTCAATAACTAACATAGTCTTTCGAATATATAATTAAACTCAAACATCCGTTCTACATCTGCCATACTGAAGATGGCAGTGGCATGCCTGAATACTTATAAGTTAATCTTGATTGTGAGCCTTAAGGCCTACACCTAAGGCCTCACGAAGGCACCTTTCAAAGTTAACTCTGTCCTTCTCTTTCAGCCTTGCCCGACAAGCCCGCCAGTAAAGCAGGAGCCCGACAGAAAAGCATCAACCGGCGCCAAACCTCTCGGGGAGCTGTGTGCTCGTCGGACAGGAAGCATTCCCCACGGGAAATTTCCCCAACGAACATAATTTTGGCACGCCCGGTAGGATCACTCTTTTGTGTAAATCTTGCATGCCAAGTAAGAAAAGCCATACACTTTGTGAAAAGAAAACGAACAGCGATTCTTCTCAACTTTGCCACCAATGACAGATCAATAAGGCAATCTTTCTTCCCCATCAGGACGGGTGGTCCTAGAAAGCCCATCCTCATCCGAAAAGTCAGAAGGAAAAGGAACCCATGAGGAATTACAGGCCACTATGATACAAGTGTTGAGGAGCATGGAAAAGATCTCTTTTGAGACAAAGGGGGAGGTCAGTAGACTATGTACCTTGACAGGTAATTTACAGAGAATGCTCGATCTGGAGTTCTCCACTCCAAAAAGCTCTCAAGGAAGTGGGGTGAGCCAGGGTACCATCAGAAGTGAGCCAGTTATTCCCCTATTTCCACTATTGGAGGAAGAAACAGATAGGGGAAAGAGAAAAGCAGTTCCTGAAGGAAGTCAACCCGTGATAGAGCCGGTCTTGGAAAAGGAGTTTCCTAGCTTCCCGTTGTTAACATTTAACAACAGGAAGCAAAGCGAGCAAGAGAGGACAAAGTATAGGATGCCCATAATAACAGGAAAGTCAAGCCAAAAAGAAAGCTCTGCAGCTCCGGACAAACCTCTTCCTTATAGGCCACCCCCGTTGGCTCATAAGGGAGGGGGAACCAACTGGAGAAAGCCTGAATCGAAGAAAGAAGCATTCATTGGCAATGACCGAAGCCCGAATGACGAGTCTGCCCTTTTTTTCCAGAATAATATAGCTACTTAACAACTGATAGATGAGTTGGCCGAATTGAGGAGGGCAGTAGTCCAAAATGAGCAACCCCGAGCTCGCCCAGCGTTCAGGATTACTTATCAAAAACTTATCCTGAATACATCGATGAACAAAATCCATTTCCTCCCAACTTCAAGATGCCCGCATTCCCAACATTCACGGGTGAGGACAGAGATCACATTTTCAAGTTCTCTAATCACTGGGTGGCGTATGAGGACAACCTAAACTACAAGTTAAGGTTGTTTGGGAATTCATTGGCGAGGCTTGCATCCCAGTGGTAGTCTCTATTACCCCCTAACTCTATTACCAACTGGGGGCAAATGGATATGGCTTTCCATGAACAATTTTACAGAATAGAACCAGAAATGACTATTAATGATCTGGTTGAAGTCAAACAATACGAGCATGAGTCCACAGAGGACTTCATGATGAGGTTCAAGAAAACAAGGATGAGGTGTCAATTCCCTGTTAACCAAGCTCAACACATATCGATTGCTCAAAGAGCTCTGAAATTGCCTTTGAGAAAGAAGTTTTATGATACACAATTTAATGAGCTACAAGAGTTAGTCATTGCTGCCACAAGATATGAAAGGCTGCTGCTAGAAGAACAACAAGTGAAGCATACGTCCAAAACTCCTCCCTTCTACAAAAACAAAGCTACAATTCATCATGTGGAGGTGGGAGAACTTGAGCCAGAGCAGGAGGACGATCATTATAGAGAGGAGATCGAGATGTGTGCTGCTGAGATGACTACGCCTTTCAAACCCCTGATGGTAAAAGGATTAGTTCAGCTTGTCAGGGACCAGAAGATCGTGATGAACGATGGGGGCTTTGTCCCGATGAAACCTCTCAAATATCAGAGCTATTCATTCGATCTGGCCAAAGCGCCTGAGATTTATGAGGAGCTGGTACGGGCAAGAGTGATTGTGCTCGATAGTACAAAGAAGATGCCCAAACCAGAAGAGTTGAGGGGAAAAAAGTATTGCAAGTTACACTATACCTTCAACCGTTCTATAATTAATTGTGTCCAGTTCAGAGACTGGGTACAAGACCTTATAGTAAAGGGAAAATTGTTACTTGACAATCCACAAGCCAGTATGATGGTTGATACAAATCCTTTCCCAGAAGCTCCTATCAACGCGATCCATCTGATCTAGATGAAGAAGCCAGTGTCATCGGCGGGTACAACAAAGAGGAAAAGTGGATCTCGGGTCGTCGCAACATTCTCGCTCAAATAAAGAAGAAAGTAAACAAGGGGGCAAAGAGTTGCCCGAAAAAGTTTGGATAGGGGCCAAAAGACAAGTACATGTTCATTTCAATATGAAAAAGTTACAAGTGATCATCCTAATCTAATAATTTTACATCTTCACTCAGGGCGATTATTCGGGAGTGATATGTCTGCATAATTGTAAAAATCCGATTAGGTTCGGCCAGGATGGTGTGGCTATTTGCAAGCTGAGATCTAGAATGCTCTAACTCCGAGTTTGTCTTCTTCACTTCTTCGATTTGATTTTCGAGGGTGTCCAGAAGAGTTGCTTGCTCAGCCTTGAGAACAACCAATTGTTCTTCTGGTTTTTGAATTTCAGCAGTCACCACTCCAATTCTTTCTTTCGTTAATGAACCATCATTCATCAACTTGTCTACCTGAGCAGAAGTGCTTGATTCCTTCTCCTGAAAACATCTTACTCGATTGGCTTGTCTTTCTGCCCTCTTATGTTGATCCCGAAGAGCCCTCAGATTTTCAAAATATGAGAAGAAGGAATCATGTTGGGTTTTTGACAGTTGGCTGGCTTTGAAAAACTCACTTGTAACCTTTTCCAGATCATGAAGGGCCTTAAGGCTAAATGAAGCGGAGAAATCCTTTGTTGCCCATTCTTGGAAAACTCGCTTTTGTTCTGGGAAACCTGAAGGTGAAGAATGCTTCGAGGATTTCAGCTTTGTCTCAAGCTGCCCGAATTTTTCAAACAGTTCGGGCAACTTAGCAGTTTTTTAAGCCAGCGAAGCAGGAGGGGGACTTTGCACTCCAGTTTTCTCTAATGAAGCAACGCCTACTGGTGGGGCAATTCTTAGCTCTCCGGCCTTCTCCATACCAGAATGAATCATCTCAGCACTCCCAATAGCCAAATGAGGTTGGGGGAGCTTTGGTTTACGAACCAAATGACAAGGAGAAGTTTCTTCAGGAACATGCTGCAAAGACCAAAAAGGAAATCATGTTGTTAAAAAGACAATTTGGAATGAAGGAAAGTTTAGGGAGGAAGAAATGTACCTGACTAAAGCTTGGAGTCTCACAAGGAAGAGTACTGATTCCTGCTTGAGGGGAAGATTCCCTACCACTGACAGGGGAGGAAGAAATTACGCCTACACCTTCACTAATACCCTGGAAGCACACAGGAAGGGCAATAATGGTTAGTAACCAGATAGTAAGAGTTACAGGAAAGGAATATCTCCTTACCAAAGTTCGACCCTGAGGGGATGAAGGAGGTTTATCAAGGGTAACTGTCGGGCAGGCAAATACCTGTAGAGTAGTTACTTCTGAAGTGACGGGAATCTCAGGGACTATGGGTTCGTCACTTACTCTTGTTGCCATTGATGGATTTTGTATTGAATGAGGCTGAGGAAGAGATAAACAGAAGTGAATATCGAAACAATGTGTGGAATTCACTGTAAGGGTGGTTGCTCACCAAATCACTATCTTCATCCACGAAGTGCAACATCACTCACGTGGATGGATCAAATTGAGAAGATGGAGTTGCCTCCAGGACAGAAGGAGAAATCAAATGAGAACCTTGACTAGGCAAGGGGGCAGATACCCCGACCTGGATGAAGGCAGAAGAAAGAAAAAGATCAAAGCATTACTCCCGAAAATCATAAAGTTACTTAAGGTTTAAGAAAGGGATTATACCTCTGAATGATCAACCCGGGGGATGGAAAGGTTTGTTTCTTGAGCAAGTGATGAAGAGACCTCGGGTGGATGGAGCTTTTGGTGTCTTACAGCCTGACCCAAGTAACCATGCTCAGGGTTTTTATGAAAGCAGGAAAAACTATGCGGACATAAAAGTAGATTGTACCTCAAGTTCTTTAAGGGTGAGGTTTCTCAATTCTTCAGCCTTTTTATACATTGCAGCTCCTAAGGGTTCATCCTTGGAGGCGATGGTTGGTTTCTTTGATGCTTGAGGTCCTGTGTTCAAGAGAGACATGTGTAACTAGATAAAGAAGAAGGATGACAGCCTAACTGAAGGGAACACAGCTCACTTGAAGATTTTTGCTTCTTTCTGCCCGCCTCAACAATTGGAGCAGGTGGGTCTGAAGACTTGATAGTTTGAACGGTTCTGGTTCTCTTACTCTTTCTAGTAGGAGTAGGAATTCGTCGTTTAGTCTTGGGGGGATGCAGGATCAGAATCTGAGTTCTCAATCACAACTGATTTCCTTCGCTTGAACACTTGGATTGTAGCTTCAGGCGCTTCTTTTTTAGCTCCTGAATCTTCTGAAACTTCCCCACCTTCTCCAGCTTCTTGCCTCTCAGCCTCTGCCGCAACTCCATGAAGAACTGCTGCATCAGCCGAGTCATCCTCGGACTCAGTAGGAACTGATTCCACATCCATTTGGGCTGCAGGGTTAAGAAGGGAAAAAGTTAAAAGAGTTTAAGGGAAGGATTATATATCAAGATAAGAAGAAAAGGATACCTATCAGAAGAACTCGATTCTTCTCTTGAATCATCTCCTTCCAATTTTCAAGTTCGCCCGAACTAGGGTATGATTTAAGAGAAAGTTGACTAAACAAGCGATCATGAGTTTCTCTCAAGTCTCCTCCATATTTCTTGGTCCATTTGCCTTCCCACCAAGAAGAGAAGAGTGAAGTACATTCAAAATTGAGGATGATGGACTTTCGGGCAGCCTGACTCATGACTTCAAGACTGCGTCGGGTAGCTCTAAAGGTCGCCTCAGAGGGAGATGCTAAATGGAAGGAAGTGCCACAATGAACGGAGTCAAAGAATGGGATAGGGATGGCTTGCCTAAAGCCTAATTGCCTGCTGCAAAAATTGGGATGATACACCTCCAGCCCTCGATCATACTGATTGCCCCGAACTCCCCAGGCCATATTTCTTAATTGAATGCAACTAATAAATTTTTCCCTATAAGAAGAAGTGGCATCTTCCCCAGGAGCATCTTGAAAGGCTTGGTCAGAGAACCAAGGATATCTTCTCAATACTGATGCACCCCATTCCAGGTCTGATCGAGTCCTACAGACCTTGAAGAAATAAAAACAGGTGAAGGTGGAGTGATCAGTAAGAGCAGCTTCGGCTAGGATTCGAGCAGGGGCTACACCTTCTGGGAACTCTAAGTTGGCAGCCCGAAACTCTGGAAAGTACCATTGGAGCCATGTTTGTATCATCCATATGGGTCCATTCAGGTTAGTCTCAAATGGCTCACCTTGATTCATTTCGAAAAGAAGATGGTAAAGATGAGAGAGAAGGAATTGACATGTTGCCACATCGTCGAAGTTATGAAGAGCTTCCACCAAGGGTATCCATTCAACCTTCATCCCTTTAGATTTGTTGGGGAATATGTGTTTGTTGAGCCAGTACAGAAGGAAGTACATGTGCTCTTGATCTCTATCAGCACGGGAAGAATCTGCCCCAAAGTTTTCTTTTCCAAAAGGGATGAATCCCTTGAAAGAGGTCTCATAACTCTTGAAATTTGTAGAGTTATATTCCAGGGAGAGGAAGGATGCGGATGAACCTGAGCTTTCAGCAATCGAGCGGAGAGCCCAGTCTTGAGTAACGTCTACTATCCTGCCCGATGGCCTTAGCCCGAAGACTTGAGCCATATCTAGAATAGTCGGAGACATGGGACCCAAGCGAAAGTCAAAAGTGTTGGTGCCCGAGTTCCAGAAAAGAATAGAGGAAACAAGCAGTTCGGGTTTGGGAATAATGGTGGTTTTTGAAAGCATTATCAACTCATAAATGCCATTGTTCATCCATTTTTTCTTGAAAATTGGCTCTAATTCGTCAATCCATTGGACCCAAGCCGGATCATTCATCAATGGAAAGCCTCAGCGATATGACGACCACTTAGATGAGGAAATGCCCGACTTAGCCAAATAGGGATTGGGAGAGAACCAGTTATCCTTGGGCATATTGTCCTCTATCACTACAGGGACCTGAGAAATCCATGCAGGACCCAACGATTGTACTCCATGAACTTCAAAGAAAAGCTCAGAATACAAACCTGCCCGAGGGCGATGCAGGCCGTTGAGTAAACGGCGCAAAGTGGCGATACCTTCGCCAGATTCATATGATAAATGGATTTGGCTGGATCTTGATGCCATTTTTGATGAAGTTTGAAAGGAAGAAGCGGCTGGAGGGTTAGGAAGTTTTCGACCACAGAGATGAGAAGAATGCAGGAGATTCAGGAAGTGATGGGCTTAAACCGAAGAAAGGCGGTGGTTACTTTTGAAAAAGTGTGCAAACCCCGAGAATGAAAGACGTGGGTATTAATAGGGACCTATTCAATCAACATTGGCACCTGGAATTTCAATCTGAATATTGATTGAAGGGGGCACTGTTTAGGTTAAAACTTAAATTTTGGGCTTGGGGGAAGTTGGCCCAAAAAGAGAAAGAAAAGCCCGAAGTTAGCCGAAGTCCAGAAGATAGGAGAAGCCCGTTTCTGACTAGGTGCAGACCATGCAGACCACTTGCTTACCTACCCAAAGGCCATGTGGTATAGACCAACCAGCTATACAGCCCAAAAAGTACTTTTAGATGGCAGTACAAGTAAAATAGTTGATGATTCACTACCCTTCAAATTGCATTCGGGCAAGATTGTTGCTACAGGATGCCAAGCCAAGGTGTCTATAAAAGGAGCAGGAGAGGTCAGAATCAAGGACACTCAAACAAACAAATACAAGCACAAACTCTGCTCAAAGCCAAATTTGCCTTCAAAACGAAGTTGTAGTCAGCCCAAGCCTTCATCCCTTTCGGGATAAACCTTTTGTAATAGCTCTGCTACCCTGCTCAACTCTTGCTGTAGTATCGATTCCTCCTGTAAACTCACCTCCCTACCCTTTTTCTAAACTTTCAAACCTCTTGCAAGACGATCAGCCTTGCCCGACAAGGTTAAACCTTGCCCGACCCTCTTTGTTTTTGTCTATGCATTCATTAGCCTAGCAATATGTTGTATACTACAAGTTATATCCAAGTTATTTCTAGTAATATGGCTATCAAAAGATTCTCTCAGTGCTTAGATCCGATTTGAATATGTCGCCACAGTTCAAGTCAGATCTAAGTTCTAAGCCCGCGGGCATATAAGATTTGATCACCCTAAAAGTCCTTGGCCTCAAGGCATAAAAAAGAACCTGATGTGGACTTAACCCATCCACTACAAACTTTGATAACAAGAAGTCCGAAGTTACTTGGGGCACAAGTAATTGACCTGTCACTTAGTTTTATTGTTGTGATATTATGATTACCATATAACGTTCGGGGACGAGATGAATTCTGATGGGAAGCCTCAAGGCCTACACCTAAGGCCCCACAAAGGAACCTATTTGGATTCATCCTGTTTCTCGGGCAAGAACATTGAGAATGGAAGGGGTTCTAATGGGAAGCCTCAAGGCCTATTCAAGGCCCCGCAAAGGCACCTATTTGGATCCATTCTGCTATTTAAATTCAGGTAATCAAAAGTATGATGGTTATAAAATCTACATAACCAAGAAAAGGAACCTTATATGTTCAAATACTAAGTTAGTTATTTATGGGAAGCCTCAAGGCCTATACCTAAGGCCCCATAAAGGCACATGTCAATAACTAACATAGTCTTTCGAATATATAATTAAACTCAAACATCCGTTCTACATCTGACATACTGAAGATGGCAGTGGCACACCTAAACACTTATAAGTTAATCTTGATTGTGAGCCTCAAGGCCTACACCTAAGGCCTCACGAAGGCACCTTTCAAAGTTAACTTTGTCCTTCTCTTTCAGCCTTGCCCGACAAGCCCGCCAGTAAAGCAGGAGCCCGACAGAAAAGCATCAACCGGGGTCAAACCTCTCGGGGAGCTGTGTGCTCGTCGGACATGAAGCATTCCCCACGGGAAATTTCCCCAACAAACAAGCTTATCGTTTGGTAATCTTATTGTTTGTTTGACAACCATTTTGTTTTCAGTTTTCAGTTATTCGTTTTCACTTTTTTAAAAATCGAAATCTTACTGGTATCTAATTTCAGTTAAAAGAAATAAAAACTGAAAACCAAAAAGTGAAAACTCAATAAATTAGTTTTCAGTTTTCAGTTTTCATTTTATTAAAGGGTTTTTGTCACAAATTGTCATTTATGTTTTACCAACTCATCAATTAGTCATTCATGTTTCAAACTCATCAATTTCGTCCCTTATATATGTCTAGCTTCACTCATCAATGTGGCAGTACTTGATTCATTGGGTGAACCCCACATGGTTCCAAGTCAGCATACTAATAGTTTTTCAACAGAGTTAAATGTCAAAGACAACATTGATGAGTGAAGTTAGACATAAGGGACAAAATTAATGAGTTTAAAACATAAAAGATCAAATTGATGAGTTTGTCCATTTGTGATAAAATTCTTTTTTGAAAACTGAAAGTTGAAAGTAGTAATTAAACGAGATTTTAGTTATCAGTTTTGATACAAATGAAAACGAAATGGTTATCAAACGACTCCCTAGTAGACTATGACTAGATAGCTAGAAGCTTTCAAACCTAAACAAATCAAGGTCATTTATCCAGGACTTAAATTATACACATCTTGCTCTTTTTCTTATTTAATTTAAGAGAGGTTTCATAAAACTTAAGGATCAAATACAACTTAAATCTTAGAGAAAAACGTCCCGAATGAAGTTAGGAGGAACCTTGCTCCATACGAACTTTGTTAATTACAATTCCCTTTCCCACATTAATGTGTTTATGAACGAAATATAGAACACAAAGTGTGGAAACTCTTCGCACCATGACAATTAAAATTGAAGGCAATTGAAGTAGGTAAGGAAAATAATAAACAAAACATTTTCAACTACAACCATGCACTTGTCAACTCCTCGCCTATGTGATGACGGTGGCATAAGGTTCATTTCAAAAGTGCTTTTAAATAATTAAAAATATTTTTAAAGAAAATATTTGTTGGACTTCAAAACCATCTGATGTGCTTCCTACATGAAGCATCAGTTATATGATTTTTTATAAGAAGCACTTTAAATATTTTCTTAAAATTAACTTGCATTTTACTAGGAATTGGTTTTAAAAACATTTTATCTTAAAGCACTAAACCATGACAATTAAAATTGAAAGCACGCAATTGAAGTAGGTGAGGAGAAAAATAGACAAAATATTTTCAGTGCACTTGTCAATTCTTCGCCCATGTGATGATGACAACATAGGATTCGTTTGAGAAATGTTTTTAAATGACTGAAAGTGTTTTCAAAGAAAATATTTTTTGGACTTCGAAATCACTTGAAGTGCTTCTTGTATGAAGCACCAGTTATATGCTCGCTGCATAAAACACTTTAAGTACTTATCTAAGACTAACTTGCATCTTTATTAGGAATTAATCATAAAAACATTTTTTCTCATAATGCTTTCAGTCATTTAATTAATAACACTTCCCAAACAAGATCATAATCATGTCTGCTTTGGCACTCTAATTTGCTACAATATTACGAAGACATGTGTTCGGTTTTCTTCCTAATAATTTATATTTTTAGAGAAATAGAAAGACATGTGTTGCAACATGAAAAGCTACGTACCATATACGTATTGCATCTCGCAAACGTGCAAATAGCCAAAATACACACGCACCCATACATTTCACAATCTTCTTTCCTTGCTTCATTTTTTGTCCTTATATATTAAATGATAATACTGCTGGATTCTGTTGTTCTCTATATCGTGGACGGCTAGTAGAACAAAACTATATAATTTAAACAACTAAAACGTGTTATATGTGCTTACATTTTTTTTTTTTGAACCATGTATTGTTTCAGATCACAGAACTTTGTCCAAAAAAAAAATCCCAGTTCCTCCAAAAAAAAAAAAATTCCCAGTTTGTACAGTTGTTTTTAGAAGAGTACGGTATTTTATTCACTAAAAAAAATGACATTACAGATACATATTATGAAAGAGCTCAGTCTAAAAAAAAATTCATGTAAACTAAATATAAAAATGTTACAATAAATATTACAATGTCTCTTATGTTAAATTACTAAGTATTCCTTAAGGTACAATTGAGGCATATATTTTGCTTATGTATAAAATTAGAAACGAGTGATAAACGAGACGTCAACTTAACAAATAAGGACATCATACTTTCAAGTCTTAATTTACTTTATTTAACTCAAGTTTAGGAAATGCTTAAAGAATCTTCACCTAATAAGCCCAAGCAAAGATAGATGATGTTTTACCGCGGTGGCAGAAAGCAATGATATCTATGCATAGTGTGGGTTAGATTCCCACTGATCCCCCTCCTACCTAACAACTAACAATTTAACCCATTAACACTATTGTTTGTCAAAAAAAAAATTAATTTAAGCCCAAGAAAAGTCCTTGAAAATGAGTTAGCTTCAGTATAGTTGATCTCATGTGATTGCTTGTGGTGCTAGGACGTTTTTGGAAGATTGCTTGAAATTCAGAGGTGGTAATAAATAGAGTCCAAATGATATATAGATGAATTTCATATATTTAAATGAAATTCTAACTTCAAATCTTTCACTTTGGTCGTATGGTTTTCTTTCATACAACAATAGTCTACTTCTTTAAACGATAAGAAAACAATATTCTACTTTGAACTCATCTAAAATGTAGAGAGAAAATTTTACATTTGGATGCATAAAGAGACGCACAAATGCTCTACCCAATATAGTTAAACTGACGTTTGTGTCGGGAGATTCAACTTAGATACATTTCGTGTGCAAAAGTTGTATGTATAATATAGGAAATCTTTAAGGGAAGGGATCTCCATTTTTTTTTTAATAAAAATGAGGATTAGTTGTGGGGTTCACACTCCATCGAACTTTAACG